GTGCGTGCCCTGTCATGTTTATGGTGCATTTCTATGGCACACTGCAGCTGGGGACACCGTACCAGCAAGGTGTCTCCCCAAACATCTGGAGCAGCTGCACCAGGGCCACTCAGTGCAGTGGGATTTTGGCCACTGCAGGCTGGCAATCGGCACAATTACACCCGGTTTTACTTCTCTTTTTGAACAGAAAGCTGAATTGCTTTCAGCAACACATGCTGACGGGTGCAAGAGTCCCACTGGACCAGCTGGACACTTGCCATCAAGGGCTCTGTCATTTGGGATGAACATAAGGAGCCCCGGGTCTCAGGTGGCACCCGGGTAGGTGGCACACGAGGAGCTGCCCTCTGATGCAGGAAAACAACGCCAGCAAAATTAGCAAAATCAGCAAAATTAGCAAAATCTGCAAAATCAGCCTGCCACCCGGACTCAAAGAACAGCTGCAGAAGGATTTGCATTTCCCGGGATAACAAATAGCTTGCAAAATATTATGGTTCGCATTAAACTTTCCGGTGCAAGCAGAAAGACATCCCTTGCTCCATCCATACCGATGTCGCCCCTGGTTTTTGGGAGCCCCTCGTCGCCCCGCGGACACTTTGCCGCGGTGCTGAGCAGCTGCCGGCGCGCGGCAGGATTACTGCGTCTCCGGCAACCTGCGCCTCTTCCCGCAGTGTGGGAGCGGACACACTCGTTACGGGCTTTGCTGCTGCCCTGGCAGGTGTTTCCCTGCAAAATCCCGGCCTGGGAAGCTCCGGGGGCTTGTACAGCAAGCCACGGATAGCACGCTGGCTCCCTGCGCTTGTAAGGGGGTTTCTTAGCGCTCCAAGAGGGATTTTGTTTCCTAGCAAGCCACGTTTTTTCCCTTGCTCAGTGCAGTCCGTGCTGCTAGTGCTGCGTTCTTGGCAAAGGATGGCCCGGATGGAGGGGACAGATAACACCCCCCGTGCTGAGCGCTGGCTTTGCCGCGAGCATCGCCGTCCCCAAAGCTCCTTGCGGTGTTGGGTTTCCCCCGGGGCTGTGGGAACCTCGGCTTTCCCGCAGAGATCCTTTCAGGCAGCCGAGCGGGATTTTGGCAGATGAGCATCCTGGCTGTGTAGTCACGAACGTGGCCAAAAACGTGGCTGCTGGTGGGACCTAGGGGGGAGCTGGAGGGGATTACTTCACTGGGACGCTCTGCCAAGGCCGGCTGTGTCCCACAAGAGGTCCTGGGTCCCCACCTCTGCCCCTGCATCCTCCTGCCTTCACTCGAGGTGAGTTTTTTGAGGAGGAGAAAGTGGAGGGAAGACAGAGCAGCCTGTTTTTCCTGCCTGGGAAAAGGTCGGGAGCAGCATCGCGGTTGGACCGGGACTCTGGAGAGGTGAGCCCTGCATGAAGAGCTCTCCATAAGGACTTGTTCTGGCGCCCTGTACCACCATGGTCCCTCCACCCCTTGTGTTCTGCTGGCTCCACACCAACAGAAAACAGTCCTCGCTAGCATCACCACCTTGCACAACCCCAGCCAGAGCTGTCCTCCACATTCCCCCATCCCCTTCCAACACAGTGCTGCAAACCCGGCTGGCAGAGGAGCCTTTCTGCTATTTCAGGAGTATTCGGGCAAGGTGAGGCCAGTTGTCTCCTGCATGGATATGGGCAGGAGGCCACGGACAGCGGCCGTTGCTGTCCCCAGGAGTCGAGAGCTGTGAGCTGCGGTGACCGGCGACACGTGTTTTGGGGTATTTCTGGGCTTTCGGAGCCAGGATAAACTTATTGGCAGAGCATGAATATTAACAGCTCTCGCAGCTGTACGGAGGCAGGCAGTGGGAGCTCCTTGAGGTTTATTAGGTTTGGCACTAGCGTGGGTAGGACGCATTTTTAGTTGTTGTTCTAACATCTCAGAAAAAAAAAGTCTTGTGCTCTATTTATTCCCATTTGTGTAAAAAAAATGTTGAGAGAAGGTGAATCAAGTGTTTCATTCAAAACTTTGCTTCTTGGCGGGAGAAGGAAGGGAGAACAGCCCAAACTAATAAAGCAGAGGGCAGGGAGGTCTAAATACAGTGTTCTTGCCTAGAAGAGTTATTTCATTTGCTTTAAACTTAAGCAGATTTACAGAAGATTAAAATCTAAAAGTACCTGAGCCTTGCGGATGTGTGCCTGTCAGTGGGCAGCCTTTCCGAGGGGAGAATTTCCTTACCACGGGC